GTCTGGATAAGTTGGTCCTTCTAGGTCTCCTGATGCCTCTCCCCTAAAGCAGCACCCCCGTTTTCTGTCTTTGTCGCTGTAACTTTCACACAGTCTCATCAATTAGGTCAGATTTTCTTATGAGCTTTTAGAGCACCGTGTTCAGCTGCAGCAAAGCCCTCACTGGGACTGCAATTTTACATATGTGCTGCTATCTGACTATGTCTGTCTCCCCCATTAGACCAGTGTCTCAATGAGGACAGAGATCTTGAAGGTTTTTGATGACCAGTTTATAATTCTAGCTGCTATACCATTTGAGGAATATAACAGATATCCACGAAATACAGCATTAGTGGGTAAATGAAGACCTGTAGGAGCCAATATCATAGGATATACTTAAAATAGAATCATATCTTCCCCCAAGTAAGACCTAAATGGTTTTACAACTGATTCATACTAAACCATAAAGGGAAAACAACTCATATATTATTCAAGCCATTTTCACATAAAAGAATGAACAATGTCTCATTGATGAAGAGAGGCGTGACCCAATGCCAAAACTACCCAAGAATAGGAAAACAAGGAAACTACTGAAATGCAAAATCTGAAGTAAACATTAATAACCAATCCAGTAGTTAAGAATACATGACAGGAGTGGATGACTGGCGCAGTAGTTGGGACACTGCTTAGACACCCCTGTTGGAGAGTCTGGGTTCAAATCACGGCTCCTCCTTCTGATTCCACTTTCTTACTTACAGCCACCCTGGGAGGCAACAGGGATGGCTCCAGTATTTTGTTCCCTGCCACTCACGTAGGAGACCTGGATTAATTCCAGGCTCCTGGCTTCAGTCTGGCACTTCTCCAACTGTTGGGGGCATTTGAGAAGTAGATCAGCAAATAAAAGGTATCTTTCTGTCTCTCTCTGTCTCTCTCTACCTCTCTCTGCCTTTAAAATACAATGAAAATAAATAAAAGTTTTCTTTTTAAAGATTTATTCATTATTTGAAAGTCAGAGTTACAGAGAGAGAGGAGAGGCCGAGGAAGAGAGGTCTTTATCCACTTTTTCACTCCCCAATTGGCCAGCTGGAACTGTGCCAATCCAAAGCCAGGAGCCAGGAGCTACTTCCAGGTCTCCCACATGGGTCATCTTCTACTGCTTTCCCAGGCCACAGCAGAGAGCTGGATGGGAAGTGGAGCAGTCGGGACTCAAACCGGCACCCATATGGGATACCGGCACTGCAGGTGCTGGCTTTACCTGCTACGCCACAGCGCCAGCCCCAATAAAAGGTATTTTTAAGAATATGCTATAATTAAATAGGTTTTCCACGATCAATGAAAGAGTGATTTAACATTTGAGTAATAAAATAATTTCCCATTCCAAGTGACTATAAGAATTATTTTAACTGCTTGTAAAATTTTGACAGTATCCAACTTTGATGATATCCAACACTCAATCAGAATCAAACTCATGGCATGTAAGGATAAAGAGAAAACATTTAATTCATATGTAGTATCTCCTAGGGGACTAATGACAAATATGTATAGTGATTTATAAGTATGAAGGCAAACATGCACATTCACTTTGCTAGTTACCGCTTCCGTTCAGCAGAGTTCCTAGGTGCTAGAACGGAAGCAAGTGCTGCATGAAGAGGAGAAGAACCACGAGAACTATTCCTACGATTATCAACACTAGAAATCACTCTCTAGATTAAAAATCCAAGACTATATACTAGAAAAATAATTTATAAATATGAGGCATCATTATCACTACATCCATTAAAATATGTTTTGAGGAAATTTAGGGGCCGGCGTTGTAGTGCAGCAGGTTAAGCCACTGCCTGCTATGCCGGCATCCCAGATGGGCACTGGTTTGAGTCCCTGCCGCTCAAATTCAGATCCAGCTCCCTGCTTATGTCCTCACTTGGGGAGTGAGTCAGCAGATGTAAGGCATCCCTTCCCTTGGCCCCCACCCCACCCCACATAACCCTGCCTTTCAAATAAATAAATGTCTCTTTAAAAAAATAAATTAAAAATAAGAGAATGGTTTTGGGTGGTAAATCACCATGCTGAAGGTATAAACTCAGGTTTTCTATAAAATTAATAAATCATACATCACATGAATGCAAGGTTAACTATTCAAAAATCAATAGATATAATTGATGTATTGACACTGATAAAAAACAGTAACAAAGATCTTGATACATAAAAATTATTTGACAAAATCTAAAAATCTAGGATAGAAGGGAACTTCTATAACCTGATAAAAGGCCATCGATGAGAAACCCAGAGCAAACTTCTTACATAATCATGGGAAACTAGATGCTCCTCCCCTAAGAGCAAGAACACAACACGAATGTCCACAGGGGCCAGTGCCATGGCACAGTGGGTAAAGCCACCATCTGTGGCACCAGCATCCTACATGGATGCTGGTTAGAGTCCCAGTGGCTCCACTTTCGATCCAGGTCCCTGTCAATGCACCTGCAAAAGCAGCAGAGGATGGCCCAAGTGCTTGGGCCTCTGCTACCGATGTCAGAGACCCAGATGGAATTCCAGGCTTCTGTCTGGCCTGGCTCAGCCATGTTCATTGCACCCATTTGGGGAGTGAACCAGGAGATGGGAGATTCTATGTGTGTGTGTGTGTGTGTAAGAGAGAGAAAGAAAGAGAGAGAGAGAGAGAAAGAGAGAGAGAGAGAGAGAGAGAGAGAGAGAGAGAAGAGAGTCTTTAAAATAAATAAATAAATAAATCCTAACAAAAAAACTGAACGAGATATGAATGTCAACGCTTGCCAGTTCTATTCTATATAGAGCCATAGATTCTAGCAGGGGTGATTAATGCAAGTAAAAGAAACAGGACATATAGATTAGAAAGAAGGGATGAAACCTTCTCTAGTCACAGATAATAGGATCAAATATACAGAAAATCTTAAAGAATACACTGAGAAATTCTTATAACTCATGATGAGTTCATTGATGGTGGTAGGATACAAGATCAATATGCCACAATAAATTTTATTGAATAATTCCATTTTTATAGGTATTAAAAATATGTAGGAATAATTTGACCAAAATGAAATCAATATTCACTCTTTAAGAACTAAAAAACATTGAAAAACTTAAGAAAACTAAAGTAAATTGAAACATAGTTCATGCTCATGTGGGTTAATAATATTATATTGTCAATATTATTATGATACACCCCAAATTAAAATACTGTAGTACTAGAATCAAAACAGATATACGAGAGGACTTCAGAAAGTTCATGATAATTTTGAATCAATACATGTTTCTATTGGTACTTTTTTTAATATCTGGGGTAGACATGCTGTGTGGCAGTTAAGATGCTCCTTGGGCAGTGTGTATCCCATATTTGAGAGTGCTTGGTTCAAGTCCTGGCTCTGCTACTGATCCCAGCCTCTCATGAATATGCACCCTGGGAGGTAGCAGAGGATGACTCCAGAGGTTTGCTCCCTGCACCCAAGTGAGAGACCCAAACTGCCATCTTGCCACCTGCTTTTAGCCTGGCCCAGCCTTGGTTGTCGTGGGCATTTGGGGAGTAAATCACTAGATGCGAGATCCTTTTCTCTGTCTCATCACTCTGCCTTTCCAATAAATACCCCAAAAATGAAAATTAAAAAAAATAAAAATCATTCATCCATTTATTTTTCATAATATGAATTTTTCATGACCTTTTGACTACTCCTTCATCGAGTCCAGAAAGAAAACCATTATGTTTATACTCAAATAAGTTTTGGCAAGACCATTCAAAGATGAGAGACTCTTTATTTATTTTTAACAAAAGGTGCTGGGAAAACTGTATGGTCACCTGGAAAAATCATCTGTAACCTTACTTCCCTCACTTCTTGTCATATACAAAAATTAATTCAACATATAAGAGATCCACGTGTCAAAGCTTAAACCATAAGTCCTTTAGGAGAAACGTTCAGGTGAACCTCAGGATGTCAGATTTGGCACTGGACTTTTAAATACGACACCAAAGCATGAACAACACAAGAAAAGATAATTGACTTTCACTAAAATTAAAAATTCATCTTTGTTGCTTTATTTTATTTTTTAAAAAAGCTTTATTTTATTTTATTTGAAAGACAGAGTTACAGAGAGGCAGAGACAGAGAGAGGGGTCTTCCATCCGCTGGTTCACTCCCCAGATGGCTACATGGCTGCAACGGCAGAAGCTGCGCCAATCTGAAGCCAGGAGCCAGGAGCTTCCTCCAGGTCTCCCACATGAGTGCAGGAGCCCAAGCACTTGGGCCATCTTCTACTGCTTTCCCAGGCCACAGCAGAGAGCCGGATTGGAAGAGGAGAAGCCGGGACTCGCACTGGTGCCCATATGGGATGCCAGTGCTTCAGGCCAGGGCTTTAACCCATTGCACAACAGCACTGGCCCCTTTCTTGGTTGTTTTAAAAACCACTAATGTGCTGGTGCTGTGGTGTAGCGGGTAAAGCCACTGCCTGCAGTGCCGGCATTCCATATGTGTGCTGGTTTGAGACCTGGCTGCTCCACTTCCAAATCTAGCTCTCTGCTGTGGCCTGGGAAAGCAGTAGAAGATGGCTCAAGTCCTCTGTACCTGTGAGAGAGACCCAGAAGAAGCTCCTGGCTCCTGGCTTTGGATTGGTGCAATTCTGGCCATGAGGCCCTTTGGGGAGTGAACCAGCAGACGGAAGACACCTCTCCCTCCCTCCCTCCCTCTCTCCCTCTCTCTCTCTCTCTCTCTGTCTCTCTTTCTCTCTCTCTGCCTCTCTTCTATGTAACTCTGACTTTCAAATAAAAAAATAAATCTTTAAAAAAAAAAGACATTAAGAAGATGAAGACAATCCACTAGAATGGCATAGAACATTAGCAAATCACATAAAACTAGCAGAAGTAACAAACAAATCGAAGTAGATTCCTAAGTACCACATTCTGTAATATTTAAAAGAGCTTGTGTGTCTAATAAATTAAATTGTTACACCATACATTAGGCCTATAATTTTAAATAAATTTCAAAACAGATGGCAACATACCATTATGTGTTCAAGTAGAGAATCTATTGCGACTATGTTATCAAAATATGTTCTGAAAAAAAAACACATAAATCCTGTAAGTAATCTTAATTTAGATCACAGTACATCTTAAACTTTGAATACATTTCCTGACTTTGTCTATACTTAAATAATAAACATCAAGGCATACATTGTTTCACTCTGTCCTTTTGTGGAAGCAATCCATAAGGTTATTTCAAAGAGACACATGAAAGTTATCAGGGCCTTACCATAAGAACCCTCACCCCAGGGGAGGCATTTGGTAATTATTTTATTGGTATATTCCAATGCAGATAGAAAGTTTGAGGCACTTAACTAAAATCACACATGAATAGTTGATATGTATATTCACCACTGATCAACACAGTTAAAAGAAAAATTATCACTGAAAGTTGGAAGAAGTTAAATTTTACTTTAACTGTATTAAACAATGTAATTAATTTGAGAAGAAATATCAGAATGTAAGTAATGATGTAGATCTCATGACTAGACATAAATAAAATATACATTCATCATTTATGAATGCAAGTAAATGAGAGGTATATGGCACATACATTAAAATGTAAATCTGATAAAAAGATAAATCAATAGACATGTATTGTAGGAAAATGCAAAGAACTCAATTCAGCGCTGCTGGATAAATATGCTTTCAGTTTAGGTTTGTGTATTAACCATGCACTCAGGATTAAGATAACGCATAAGTAATGGACAATACCTTTTACTTAAAAGGAAAATTATTTAGCGTGAAGCCCCTGGAATTTAGAGCGCACTTCATTACACTATGCACTGAAGAATACAAGGAAGATGGTGAAGTGAGCGAATTTCCCACTGGGGAGAAAACGAAAGGGAATGGATTCAAGTATCATGTGAGGGATTCAGCTGACTCTGGGCAACTTGCGGAATATTAAAATACCGAGCAAGAAAGGACCATGGCCTTCTCTATGCATTCTGAAGTGATAATATCATGTCCCAGAGGCATTATGTTTAATTTTGTTTGGTAGAAGAGTTGGTTTAGAGGATCAAAAAAAAATGGTCATATTTCAGCAATTAATTACATGGATCAAATATAGACAGTCTCCCCTATAACAAGAATTTAATATCCAGAATCACAGAGGCCAGTGCTGTGGCTTAGGTTAATCCTCTGCCTATAGCGTTGGTATACCACATGGTGCCGGTTCAAGTCCTACCTATTTTACTTCCTGTCCGGCTCTCTGCTAATGTGCCTGGGAAAGCAGTGGAAGCTGTCTCAAATGCCTGGGCCCTTGCACCCCTGCAACCATGTGAGAGATCCAGGAGAAGCTCCTGGCTCCTGGTTTTGGCCTGGCCCAGCCAGGAAAAATAAATTAGAACTTTTTTTTCCTACCATCACCAGTATTCTCTTTGAAAAAATGAGATTTTTTTAGTATTGCCAATGTGCTCTAAGTTAATCAACTGAGAAAATACAAGTCAAACTGAAAATTAAGATCATGACATACACATGGCCGTTTGCAGTCCTTCACCTATGAAATGAACATGGATGAGAATGTAACACAATAGGATGGACCATTCTTCCTGGACAGCTGTGTCACCTATGAAATGAACATGGATGAGAATGTAACTGTACACTGTACAGTCCACAGTAGGAGGGACCGCTCTTCCTGTGTGACTGAACGGTCCACAGTAGGAGGGACCGTTCTTCCTGTGTGACTGTACGGCCCACAGTAGGAGGGACCGTTCTTCCTGTGTGACTGTACGGTCCACAGTAGGAGGGACCGTTCTTCCTGTGTGACTGTACGGTCCACAGTAGGAGGGACCATTCTTCCTGTGTGACTGAACAGTCCACAGTAGGAGGGACCGCTCTTCCTGTGTGACTGAACAGTCCACAGTAGGAGGGACCATTCTTCCTGTGTGACTGAACGGTCCACAGTAGGATGGACCGTTCTTCCTGTGTGACTGTACGGCCCACAGTAGGAGGGACCGTTCTTCCTGTGTGACTGTACGGTCCACAGCAGGAGGGACCGTTCTTCCTGTGTGACTGTACGGTCCACAGTAGGATGGACCGTTCTTCCTGTGTGACTGAACAGTCCACAGTAGACTGGACTGTTCTTCCTGTGTGACTGAACAGTCCACAGTAGGCGGGACCGCTCTTCCTGTGTGACTGTATGGTCCACAGTAGGCAGGACCGCTCTTCCTGTGTGACTGAACAGTCCACAGTAGGAGGGACCGTTCTTCCTGTGTGACTGTACAGTCCACAGTAGGCGGGACCGTTCTTCCTGTGTGACTGTACGGTCCACAGTAGGAGGGACCGTTTCCTGTGTGACTGTACGGTCCACAGTAGGAGGGACCGTTCTTTGGGACAGCTGTGTCTCTGCAGCTACTGGCCACAGTAGAGAGCAATCTATCACTGCCAGGGCCTGCACCTAATTCAGGCCGCTGATCGATAAGGGCCGCCACATCCTGAGAAATGAACACTTACTTTGATACGTCGAGTAGAAAGTCATTCAATTCAGTCTGTTTGGCAAGGCCTCTGCACACCTGCCATATAAAATAATAGCTATTAATTCTAAGAGATACTGCTCATTTAACAAGGAAACTCCCAGAATACCACTTACCTTATTAACTGAAGAATGGTGTAAAACACTAACTTGCTTTAAAAGGTAATAACGTAACTACTAACATATACTGAATACTTCAGTTGTGCTAAACATAGCTCTAGGCTTATAAGCACTTCGTTATCTCCATCACCACAAAGCCGTGTGAGTTTGGGATCTGACGTTTTCTAATGGAGGTGTAAAGATGCTGGGAGTATTACTCAGACTCCAGGGTTAACCAGCAGTGGAGCCAGCATTCAGATCCAGGCAGTCCACTGCCAGCTCTCTTCAGAACTACTTCACACCATGCTCAGAAAGTTGCAATACGAGAGCGGCTGTTTAGCTCATTTTCAGTGAAAACTTGCTTTCAGTGGAAAATAAGAAGTTTAGCAAGCATATAAGTTTCAGGAATTATTTATCATTAATGTACACAGAATCCATAGAAATAATCATAAGATATGTAAGGTAGGAGAAAAGCATTTAGTGATTAAACAAACAACTGGAAACAGCACAACAGCCTAATAAACCATTAAGGTCTTTATTAACCTCTACTCCAGGCCCCAGTGCTACACTCCTCTCTCTTCAGCAGCCCTGGAAATCACTGCAGACTCACCTGCACCTGATGTATTGCTACCGAAGCCCAGGCAAGATTTGCTGTTGCAACCTGAAAAGGCCGTATTTATAAAGAAAACAAGCATTTGTTAGCAACGTGTAGGCATCCCAACAAAGGACTTCAGCATAAATGTATGTGAAGAATGTCCTAAGGTCACTGAACTTTCAAATATTCTTCAAAGGCAAAGTGTCAAATACTCACATGTTTCTTTCCATACTTCCTTTTCTATTTAATTAAGCTTAATGCTCTCTTGTTTGTCTTACTTTAGGATAAACAGCAAGACAAACTGATTGCTAAAAAGAGCCACAGTACAATGATTTTAAAATAAAATGATTATGCTTCAGTTGAACGAAAAGAATATTAAGGAAAGCCTCTAATGACTACTTGAAACCGATGAGATATTTCTAGAAAGCAAAAGCCGTGTGTCTGTACCAGGGGAAAAGTTCTAAATCACTGGCTATTAGTCCTTTTGTTTTTGATCCATTTCACAGACACACGAGGTGTCTACGACACAACAGGGAGCTTCTAGGTTCTGCCAGTAGCAGTAAACCAAACAAGACAAACAGCAGGGCTTCGGTCGTGCTGTGGGGAGAAAGACAAGACAGGAGACCGCTGCAGTGTACCCCGGTGACCGCAGGCACCCCAGAGGAGCAGCGGTGCCAACATCGCTGAAGTGCTCAGCCAGGACCCCAGAGCTTCCTGCAGGGGGCGCTTCGAGCGGACAGGCAAGCACTCGCCCACTAGACGGAAGAGCAAAGGCAAGGCTGAGCCCTGGGCCGCAGGCCTCCGGAGTGCCCAGCCTGGGGTGCCGGTGAGATATGCAGCCATTCAGGCAAGTGGACAGGGCTCACGCTGGCCGTGCTAAATACATGGTTTCAGTGTTTGGGTTCAGTATTGATGAGCCAGCTCCAGCTCAGTGAATAGTGAATGGAGCTCACTGTTTTCCAAACACATTGGACACTGGATCCGTGTTTCAGGACACAGAGTCTAGGAAGAGGACGATTTCAAGAAGACATAATGGCAACCAGGAGGCCAAAACTCTCCAGAGTTATCCCGTTTCTTTATCTGACTCACAGTGTGGCATATTTTTTATTATTAAAATGTATTTCCACAATTTTTTTTAAAAAAAGCACTGAATTCCTCATCTCAGCAGTTTCTTCTACAAATAACTGTAAAGCAAAACAGAAACAGGCTTTTAAAAGCATCAGCACCAGTAGAAACACACTGCTGAGCAAACGTGGCATTACACACTCACTCATGCACTCAGGGAGTGTTCATGAGCAGTATTAACGAGAGGGGCTCAGGTAACCGTCCTAATGGCAGCCTGGAGACCTCACCTCCTGGTGACTGAGGCAGAAGGCTTCTTTGCCCCAGTGCCGATACAGCTCAAGGATGCCAATCAAATCACCAATGGCAGTGACGATGGGCAAGCAAAGAACAGACTGGATACGAGTCCCTGACTCCAGCCCAGTGCCTCTTGGAAATCGTTCATCCTGAAAAACCAAAGGGAAAAGCTGTAAGTCAGTGAAAGAAACAAAATCATTACGTTAGGATTCTTATTTCTATCAGAAATTGCCATGGTTTTGTAACCCATGATATGCAGGTCTTTTCAAAGGAAAGCTAAGTGATGATGGTTACCACCAATTATGTTCAAGAAAATGCTTATTTGTAGGAATATTGAAACCTTTAAGTCAATAAGGCTTTAATTTGTCTTTATCTGGTGTAGCAGAAAATTAATAAATGAACAAGGAAGGTTAACTTTGTGCAATAATGTGAAAAGTAATCATACAGGCTGACACTTATCCATCACCTTCTGTGTGCACTAGCGTCCTCAGGGCTGCACATGGACAATGTCACAGTGAACATTAGTCTACACATACACACCAGATCAGGAACACACATGAACATTTGTGTCTTCTCGTTTTAAGGTGAAGACAACACAGAATAAGTTAAAAATACTCACTAAATTGAATCTCAAAGCACATGTTAAATATTCAAATCATCTAATAATTATCAATTATTTAGTATAAGAAAGGAAATTGGTTCTCCAACTTCAATAATTTTCTGTCTTAGCAAAATCAGACAAAGGAAACAGGGAAACAATGCAATAATATCAAAAACACCAATTCTACTTGTTGAAGTCCTGCTGCCTGCAGGAAACTGTTAGGTGTGAATTAGATCTTTTCATGAATCAACAACACTATAAATCTCTACTTTAACTTACAGATAATTTAAAACTCGCATATACAACAGGGCATCTTCAAATGAATATATATAGCACCTACTTTGAACTTTCATTCTCTCTTTTTTTCCATAAAATAACTAGCTAGCTGATTTGTTGACGGTCATATAGATACTTAGTGGCAAAAATGAAATTAAAGCTCGTGTTACATGATTTCAATTTAATGCTATCTCAGAGCCAATTCCTGACATCTATATACCTGTTGGTACTTCTCGCTTTTAAAGTCTGTACTTCAGGTGGTGTCATTTCGTTAACATGTTCCCATGTACTTCAAAAAGTTCATGAAAATGAAATTGGAGGATAAATTTATTTTGGTGCAATACCTTGAAATCCGTGCATAGCTTTTGCATAATACACACTCCATTAGCTTTCCTAAGACTCTCATACATGTGGATTTCAGTTATTTGGGCACCACAACACCTGCTCTGCGAACTACACCCCCATGGATGTCTTGAAGAGCCCTGTGTGGTGGGGGGAGGCTGCACTGAGGACGTCTGTCTCTCTGTTCCCAGAACCTCTGTCAGCACCCCCAGCACAGCCTGAGCTCACTCATGCGATTTGCTCTGCATAAGAGAGGGCACTAAATGTGGTGAAGCCGACACCTGAAAACTCACTTCACTTGGACTCCAGCTACTTCTTCATAAGAAACTGCAGGCTGGCCTTCCTGGAAAGGTGTGAGATACACAGAGACCTGGGACCGTCAGAGACCAGCCAGCACCCAACAGGATGACCAACTGACCCCACAGTCAGGGCAATCCCAGCAGACTGCAGCCCAGATCAGCAGAGTGGCCCAGCCCTACACTCATGAAAATAACAGGTGGACATGTATAACATCACAAAAATTTTTTAAGTCGTTTGCCAATAGCAATAGCTAACTCATTTCTATCCTTATAAATCCTGGCAAGACACGAAACACAACACAGCAGTCATTCAGCTTAAATGACTATAAATATATGCTTTGCGTTATTCATATCATCGTGTGCTGAAATAAGAATTGTCCAAATGCAGCTCGTAGTGGGCATTGTAAAACAGGATTTTCTGAACACAAAAAGTGAGTTTACATATACACTCATTTTTCATTTTTCATCTATATCTTGCTTCATTCCTTTTTAAAAAATGAAATGGCTTAAACTATAATATAAAAACTATATATATATATATCTTACTTCTGAACTAAACACTTCAGGTTAGAACTGTCACAAAGAGTCAAAAGGTCACGTACCCCAAGGATGTCTTCCACTAGCAGCGTCTTCCTGGACTTGGCCACGTAGGCAGAGATGGTCGTACCCTGGGTGATGGGCCCGGCAGGGACGAGGCGGGGCCTGCCTTCCTTTAAGCCCGGCGGGGTGAACACACACAGGCTCTAGGAAGAGTGAGAGTTTCCTGTACATTTGCACAGTACAAAAAGGCACTTGGGTGTTACTTAGTGGCCATGAGAAGTCTGTGAGCCAATTGAAAAAGAAAAGATGTGGAACAAGGGAAGGTGCTTCACGATTAAACTGGAGTACCTGGGACAGAAGTTCCTTCATATTGCAAACTCACACACAATGTCATAGCTTCAGAACAGGTCTCTGATGAAAGCACATGTGCAAAATCCCTTCAGATAGCCTCCTACTTAGATAAATTAAAAATAACAGGGGCCGGCACTGCGGCGTAGTGAGGAAAGTCGCTGCCAGCAGTGCTGGCATCCCATATGGGGGCCAGTTAGAGTCCCAGCTGCTCCACTTCCTATCCAGGTGGTGTCACGGTTATGGCCTGGGAAAGCAGCGGAGCTTGACCTAAGTCCTTGAGCCCCTGAACCCATGTGGAAGACCTAAAAGAAGCTCCTGATTCCTGGCTTTGGATTGGCATAGCTCTGGCTGTTGTGGCCAACTGGGGAGTGAACCAGCAGATGGAAGACTTTCTCTCTCTCTCTCTCTCTCTCTCTCTCTCTCTCTGCCTCTCCTTCTCTGTATAACTCTGACTTCCAAATAAATAAATAAATCTTTAAAAAATTAACAAAATGGGAGAAAAATGTATCTTGTCACTGGGCTCACGATCTCATACCAAAAACAAACCCTCTGCCCAAACTTCCTACAGATGTGACACAAGGTGTATCTGGAAACAGGAGCAGTGGCTACAAGTCACAGGACATTATTTCTCTCTTGGCAGAATCCGTTTTAAGTACTTATTTGAACTTATGTGAAAGGCAGAGCAACAGAGATGGAGGGAGGGAGGAGGAGGAGGAGGAGAGAGAGATCTTTCATCCACTGGTTCACTCTGGCCATGACAGCCTGGACTGGGCCAGGCCAAAGCCAGCAGCCAGAAGCCATCTTGGCCTCCAAAATGGTTGGCAGGGGCCCAGGACCCTGGGCCATCTCTTGTTGCCTCCCCAGGCACATCAGGGGGCAGCTGGATAGAAAGCAGAGTACCTGGGGCTTTAACTGGTACCCAGACATGGGATGCCTGCGTCACAGGCAGTGGCTTAACTCACTGAACTACAATGCCAGTGCCTCTCAACAGAGAGTCAGGTTTAGTCTGTGCAAACTTCTTGGCACATCTGGGTGATGTTTCAAAATTTTTCGAATTATTGGGTGGGAAAATAAAGTACTGAAGATATTTTTAAAAGTAGGATCATTATTTTGATGAAAGCAATAATAATTCTCAATTTTCCACTAAATAAAAAGTGCTAATTGAAATAAATCCTTTAAGGTTTGGGGGCAATATTTTAATATAATTTATCAGGATTATCTACTAAATTTGAAAAAGATTAAAGTTTAGGTAAATTCTCCTTATACTTCATTTTACTTTATCTCAAATGGATTGCTGTTACTTAAAAGACTGAAGACCTTTTCAATCAGTATTATACAACCTTCTTGAACTAAACATATTCCTACTAATATTCACTATAATCAAGGTAATTTTAAGAGTGAGATGGTGAATTGCAAGTATCTATTAACAAATAAGTAGTTTTCAATATTTGTAATATCAGAAAACTCTTCAAACATTTTTCTTAGAATTGTAAGATAATAAATCCCGTCAACTTGAGCTCCTTAGCTAAACCAGCAAGAAAGAGAAAGGAAGCAGAACTTGGCTTAACCCTGGCTGCTTTAAAAAAAAATCACCACTATAAGTGATTAGAAGCTAATTTCAAAATTCTTACATTCCCAAGTGTACATACAAGGTTAAGGCTGGGTTTATTAGTATCTGCTATTGTATAATGCTTCTGAAGAATATATTGTGATTCTCCTAAATAGGATTAAGTTTTAAGCATGTTATGTACTTGTGATAAAAATTACATGTAACATGGTAAATGACAAGAACATATTTTTATTAAAAAACTAGAAATTAGTGCCAATGTTTTTTACATTACTGTATTTCTATCATGAACCAATATTCAAATAGGATAGAAAAAGCAGCTCTGTCACTAGATGTCATATCTGTCATTGTCTAGGTATAACTCAGCTGTCGTCACTCTGTCTTAGGATTGCAGGAAGAGTAGAAAATTGATCCTAGTACAGTAAGAGAATGATTGCAAAAAAATTAGCTATGGTATATCTACCATGAAGAAAAGTCAGAACTGACAGTGATTTTATCAGACCATGAGAAAGCTAATCATAAGAAGGATGCGAGCAACTGTTCCTTTTCTCTACCAAAGACACAACCGCAGCAAATAAACTGAACTGAGTGGTTTGAAAAACTTTTAAAACAACATGCCATGAGAGTAACAGAAAGCAAACTCTGGAACAAGCTTCCAACAGTAGTGTTGGATTTTTTTTTCCCTTTTTTGAGTCCTAGTTGTTGGCTTGGCTTGTTTGAAGTTAAACATAACACGTCTTTTCCAGATGACTTAGCTAGGGGCATTTTATGGCTAAATTTAACATCTTCAAGCTATACTTAGCTGTACAGTTCAATAATGGTGGAATACCTTAAATGTTCTTCTATTATTATATGATGATTTATTTAATATTATAAAAGGTAAACTATCTCTAAGTCGAGTTTCTATGTGATGCACAACAAATAAGCAAATGCCACATCCCAGGGTATATGGAAAGCTAGCCTTTCTATCAGGCTTGCTGAAATAAAAGACTAAAAAACCTTTTCATTATTTCAGAAAATCTGTGAACTTTCTCTATACACAATAGCTATGAAAAATTATGGAATTCTTTGCAGTGGGAACTGAATACTTAATTTACTAGTTAACTCATGATTTTATTCATCTATTTACCAAAAAAATGTTTCCAAAGAAAGCTGAGGGTAACTTTTTTTTATTTTTATTTTTATTTTTTTTTTTATATTTTTTTGACAGGCAGAGTGGACAGTGAGAGAGAGAGACAGAGAGAAAGGTCTTCCTTTGCCGTTGGTTCACCCTCCAATGGCCGCCGCGGCCGGCACACCGCGCTGATCCGATGGCAGGAGCCAGGAGCCAGGTGCTTTTCCTGGTCTCCCATGGGGTGCAGGGCCCAAGCACCTGGGCCATCCTCCACAGCACTCCCTGGCCACAGCAGAGAGCTGGCCTGGAAGAGGGGCAACCGGGACAGAATCCGGCGGCCCAACCGGGACTAGAACCCGGTGTGCCGGCGCCGCTAGGCAGAGGATTAGCCTAGTGAGCCGCGCAGTGAGCCGCGGCGCTGGCCGAGGGTAACTGTTAATAAGATATTGAGTACATTGTGTTACGAAGGCCGGAAGCGTAGGCAGAATTGAAAGGAGGACTAATCTAAGAACAAACACCTTTTCCCGTGTTTACTGCACACTTCACACTTTCTGTCCTCTCTACCAGGGGGTTTCCACTCTTTATTGACTCGTTTTTGCCTCCATTCAATTCATCCATGTAAAAGCTCCCTTCATTTCTGACTGAAGATTAATTGTTGGTTTGAATCGAATGTTTTGTGACATTTGATTTTTATGATTATTGTTTTGTAGCTGAATAAGTTGATACATTCCTGTTAATTGCAGATAGTGAGGAAGGCTGAATTTTAAACAGACTTAGGGATGGGAAAAGGTTGATGAAATCTAGCTGTATTTACTACACAGAGATAGTCCCCTGAACAGTCGTGCATTGAATAGCTATCTTTCGCCCACTTATTTATTTGCCACTTTCATCATATACCAAATCCTCCAGTATAATTGATTCTGTTTCTGAATACTCAATTTCACAACACTGGGTTAATTTTTCCATCAGACTGTTTTAATTTTTGTACATTTTATAGCAAAGCAAGTCTTACTTACTTTGCTTAATATTTCAAAATAATAATTTAAATAAAGATATATATATGCAGCATTTTTCATCAGTGAAAAGTCTACTTTAATATTCAGAAATGTGTAACTAAATTTCAAGAAATTTACAAAAGGGGAAGGGGATTTATTTTTAAAAATTAATATAATTTTAGAGCTTTCTATAATATGATATAAATTTCCTTGTTGTTAAATAAGGTCTGCTTTTTATTTATTTTATTTGAGAGTCAGAGAGACCAAGAGAGCCTCCATCCATTGGCCCATGCTTGCGTAGTCAGGCTGAAGCCAGAAGCCAGGAACTCGGTCAAGGTCCTCCACACAGGAAGCAGGAACCAAATAACTTAGGCTACCATCTGCCATCTGCCAGAGTGCACATTAATAGAAAGCCAGAAACCAGAGTAGAGCCAGGACTAGAATTCAGGCACTGAGAGACAAAGTGTGTGTAAGAGAGAGAAAGAGATCTTGCATGCACTGGCTGACCCTGGCTGACTCCCTAAATGGATGAAACAGCTGAGGTTCAGCCAGGCCAAAGCTGGGAACCAGGAAACCCGTCCATATCTCTCACATGGGTGGCAGGAACTCAAGTACTGCAGGTTATTAATCCACTGCCCCCAAGGTGCATTAGGAGGGCACCGGATGGGAAGCAGAGTAGCCAGAACTTGAACTGGCACTCAGGTCTGAGATGCCAGTGTCCCAACAGCTTAACCTGCCAGTATCATTATCTCACTCATGAGACAATTCAGGTTAATAGAAGATAAATGAAAATATTATACTCCCTCTATTTTCATAAAAGGATAAATGAAATCATCTTCAGATAATATTTCCGGAAGACTCCTAGGCATGTGTTTATTGTATCTAATTCATCTATAAAATCTAGCATGAATTGAGTCTGCAATTAATTTTTACTTTAATATTGTATAGATTTATGAAAAATGTTATTAGTGTACATATTTTTTAGGCTGGAGACAAAAACAAGTATAAACAGGGAAAAATTGGGGGAATTCAAACAGCACCCATCATTACCCTATCCAAAGGAGACCAGCTGCCTCTAGGGCATCAGCCTGGGCAGGGCTGTGCGGAATCCTCACCCACACCTGGGAACTGGGCTGGGGGACCACAGCTATCACCCCCATGGCCCAACTCACACAG